CCTCCCAATATATTTGAAAAAGGACTTTTTGTTATCCTTAATCTTGGACGCTAATCCGAGCTCCATGTCCGCCTTGGCCTTCCTAACAGCTCGCCTACAGGCCCGAGCTGAGGAGGTATACTTGATCAGAAAGCTCTCTTTTGCTGAACTGAAGTCATTAGTAAAAGTGTTAAACAGCACCAGGCCCAGAACAGACTTCTGTGGAGTCCTCCTACTTGAAGCATCCTCATGCTGATCCATTTGTAGTTACTCTTTACTAGCAGTTACATAGCCAATTACTTATCCACCTAAAAGTTACTCTGTCTTGACCTACATTTTTCCAGTTTACTTACAACAATATATTATGAGGTCCTGCATCAAAATAGCTTCAATAAGTCTGCATCAAAAGCCTTAGTAAGTTCAAATATATTTTGTCCATTACATTCTCCTTATCTAAACTGTCCTGAAAAAAAGGAAATAAAGTTGGTTTGCCATAATTTGTTTTCAACAAATTCCTTCTTCCTTCAGTTGCTTACAAGTTGATTGTTTTAAAAACTTCTCAGGTACTGACGTCAGTCAGTAATTCCCCAGGTCTTCTTTTCCCCACTTTTTAGAGATGGGCATTATGTCAGCTTTCTCCAGTTGTCTAGGACCTGACCTGACTCCATAACTGATAGCTCTTCAGTTAATTCCTTCAACATTTTAGGATTAAATGTTATTTGGCCCTGCTGGCTTAAATTTATTCAAATTGTCATGAAGTATCTGACAAGCTCTTTACTTATCATGACCTGTAACTCTTCCTCTTCTTTGTTTACATCATTTTTGGATAGAAGATATTAAACAAAGAATGACCTCAGGATTAGAGATGCAGGACTAGAAATAAAGATGGTGTTCAGACAGGAACTTATAGATATACAAGACACACTGTGCCAAGCTAACCCTGTATTCTTTATTTAAAACTTAATAACTTTTTAGACAAGGGGAAAGTAACAGATCATGTATTTCAGGAAAGCATTTGACTCAGTACCACATGAGAAATATAGTTAAAACGGTGCTTAACCCTAGTTTAAACTTCAGATAAACTGAGTGTACTGCAAGTATTGTCAGAAAGATAATTATTTGGCTGAAGTGGAAGAAATGATGCTTTGTGCTAAGAAAAAAATAGCCTAAAGGGAAGCTACTAGAGGAGCTCCTAATGAGTTGCATTTAATGTTTGATATTTTCTTTAATGACCATGGCACCAAAAGTAAGTGTGTCCAGAGAAGGATCAGAATATTGTTGAGAGAGAACTGGATGACCTTGAAAATGAGAATAAACTGATATGGAATTAATTAAAATATTTTAAAAGAAAAACAACAAAAAACCCACAATCTTAGGACCCAATAATGAGACTTTTTCTCTAAAGTGGGAACAGCTAGAAATGAAAAAGGAGGCAGAAGATTAGCCTATCGTAAACTGAATAGGAGCCATCAGTGTAACTGGATGGTGAAAAAGACAAGGAGGCATGTCCCATTGAAATAGAGAAAGAAGTATTAATGCTATTGTGCAAGATAACTCATCTAGAATATTTGTGCAATTCAGGCTACCTATGATTAAGAAAGCCTAATTCAAACTAGAAATAGGCAGAGAAAAGTGTTATTACGATAATCTATGGAACAGAGAATCTGTCCTATGAGAAGAGACTAAAAGAGCCTGGCCTGTTTAACCTACCAAAAACGAAGGCTTAAAAAGGATATGATGACTGCCTACAAACACATCAGGAGGGCAGGCACCAGAGAAGGAAAAGACCAATGATAGCTTAATGCCAATATTGACACAAGAAAAAATGGATAGAAACCAGCTATGAATAAAATGAATGCATAAATTAAAAGAATTATAACCATCAAAGGAATAAGGTTCTAGACAAGCCTTCAGTTCCCCTTTCTCCCCTGCCAACCAGTTACTCCTAACTAGTTTTAGTTTAGATTTTGGTTACTTTATCAATGGGGTTATAAGACAGTTATGCCTGCAATAGTGAGCGGGTACAGAATTTAAGGATTTGCAGTTGGGTGGGTGCTCTGTCATTTTTCCTCTGAGGATAAAATAACAGACCAGGGTATGTAACGCTATTCAGTGGTGTTACATGAGGGCAGTGAGGCAAGGCAGGGATTTAAAAGATTAAGAGTTTACACAGCGATGTAATTGCCGTGGATGGAGATCTAATTCTCTTTACAGATAGAAGTTGCTTCACAAAATTCCAGTTTGTGACAAATTTTAAAAGAGAGTTAATTATGTCAGAGGTTTCTGCTACCAAATCTGGAGTCTACTCATTCAGAATTGGGACAGGAACACATGTACAGGATATATATATATAAAGTCTGAGAATCAGAGCACAATGGTGTGAGTAACTAATTTTCAAGACCAAAGGAAGGTTCATGTGTGCTGGCATAGCATCTGCTAACACAGTATTGTGGGTGAGCCCAAAAGTGTGAAAGTCAGTTTACCTCAATGGAGTGAGTATTCGGAGTTGTGTGGAGCAGGCAGACCACGAACTGGGAGCAGACAATGCTCCTCATGTACACTTTGGCATCCAAGGAGCAGCCTTTGGATTTAATTATCATATACACGGATATCTGTAAAAGGGTTAATTTGCTCAAGACAAAGAAATTTAGGGTAAGCATAGGACATTAGCCCAAGGAAAATGATGAATAAGCCTGGAATGCTGCAGTGAGGGTATGTTGGTTCTGTGGGTAGATAAAATAGCAGCTAAATTCCTTCACGGGTGAGAAGGCTTGGTTCTGTCCCACCAAAACAATACCTTGTTAGGTACCCAAGTTATTCTAAAGGCATACTTTACAGCAGCAGATGTTACCAGCCAATGCCCAAGAGGAAACTATTAACTGTTTGGAATCCCAAATTAGGGAAGGAAGAATAGGTAAGCTAAATGCTGGCTTCTCTTTCTGGCATGCATCCAGTGAAGGCATCTATTCCACAGGTTTCCTGGTTCTTAAGCTGGAAATAGACTTGGGAGAAGTCACCTGGAAATAGGGCTGAGGTTCATAGCATATGGTAGAATAAGGAGACAACCATCATTGCTCATCACCAAACCTTTATATGAGGTGAGTTAAGGAGGATACCAACAGATGGGGAGATTTGCAAGACTGACAGTAACCTTCAAACAATCTAAACAAAGATGGAAAGACAACCGAAACGGTACAATTTATTGCTGGATAGCTTGCACTTGAACTAATCAAGTTGCCGCCTAGTTAAACAAAATGCCTCACAGTTTGCTTTTCTTCCTGCCTGCTGGGTGAAATACAAGGGTAGAAAGGCCCAAGCAACTAAAATGCCAGGTCAAGGCTTTCAAGATGTTAGGACGTATTTGGGTCATATTTTTGACAAAGGTTAACAACAAACTCCCTTTTACACATCTACATTTCAATCAGCTGCCTAAATGGAAGCTGAGTTCTTTTGAAAATCTGGTCCTTATACCACAGGGATACGGTTGTCATTGTTAGGGGAAAAATAAATGAAGAATAGGTTAGTGTTTTCTTTCCTTGCTGTAGGTATTTAAATGTGTGTAGCTCTTCTTAGAGCAGGGAAAGATATTAAACAACAAGCTTTGTCACTCACAGAACACTAGTAAGCAGCTGTGTTCAAAACATCCTGTCTCAAACATCATACCAGCAAGCGTCTATTTACCTTAACTCCTTCTTCCTCATCAACATTCAAAATCCTTGTAGAAGCATGCACAAAAACTCACCGTCAGCACTGCAGATGCCTGACTTCAACTTCAAAGTCACACAATTTAAACCCCATGCCAAACCATCTGGGGTCTGTCCAAAAAAAGGCAAAAAATAAAAGATTCATGAAAAAGCAAAAAACATATGCTAGACTGGCCATTGGATCCTTTCATCAACTGTTCCCTCATTTAAATAGTAGAGGAATCCCAGTACTCATAACTGCTTACCAATGCAGGCAAGGTGTTTCACTGTCTGACCATTCTTCCTTCGAGAAAACATATGTTGCCACTTAATAGTCTTGCAGTGGTTTATTCTTCACTTAAGTGACTAACTACTTGATTAATTCTGTCAGCCAGTGTAATGGAAACCTTGCAGTGGTTTTGTTTGTTCATTTAAACTGAGAGGAAGAATTTTAATCATCTCTGTAACAATGTGACTGCTGCCCCCTTTAATGTTTGCTGGGCTATGGGGCATGTTAAATCTTGTTCCATGATGTGGCCCTTTGGGTTCTGGAAGTTCAAGAGCAGTCTACTGAAAGCCACTGGGGAGAATGGGTTTCATAGAGTTCATCATTGGGAAGCCCAGACTAAAAGACAGAGCCCTGCAAAAAAGAACTGTGGAGACCTCTAACACAGGGGAAAGACAAGGAAAACTAGATGCTCATTTTTTCTGATAAAAGATTCCATTCTATCTGACCATACAGCTGTATCTCCATACAGCTATAGTCTCATCAGTCATATTTCTATATAAATTTTGTATGCATAGAAAATGCATTGTAAATTGAGTTCTAGGAAATTTAATACTCTCATCTCAAATGCAATTGTTGGGTGCTAATATTTGCAGATTGAACCCTATTTCTGTGAGAAAGTGAATTAACTGAAACAGCACACTTCAGTTAATACTAGAAAGCAGTTTAATAAGCTAGACAAAATGTTAATACATGAGAGAAGAAAGTCAAGATTTTAAGATGAACAATCAGTAAAGTGTTGTTGATTGTTAAATAAAGTTTTTTTTTAAAAACTCATAATTGTCCATTGTGTCTGTAAATATTACAAAATATTTCCAGCTACAAAGTAGATCCAGCTACGTCCCTGACCAGCACTAGGGATTCTATAATCTTGAACTTCTCTTCAGAGATTGATGAAAATATGCCCGTCAGTGGGTATTCTGTCTTACGGCTGCATAATTTCCAAGGTGGTTTTGTGAATAGCTGCCTGATTGCCATGAGAACAGTCTAATTGAAAAAAGCTCAAAGGAAATGAATAGAGCGCATAAAATCTGCGAGTCTCAGCAGGGCAAAAGAAGGGTGAAAGCATGTAATTCCTCAACACAGCTTCAAGCATTCAGAATATTTTACTGTTGGGTATTTGCAACTAGCTTTTAAGTCCAGAATTTTTAAGTTTTTGCAGTGAATAGAAATGGCAGGAGTCTGTGTGAGACATTAAACTACATCTTGAAAAGAAAGAGTGTGCTGCTGACAAACAACATTAATCGGACAGAACTGTGTGGTAGGGAACAAAATCCTGGTTCTTCAGTATAAAAACTAAATTCCTAACAGTTGAGGTAAACAAAATTGAGTGTCTATCTTCAGTAAATCCCTTACGCTCCGTGGGCTTAATCTCTCAAAGTACTGAGTGGGAGTGGAGAGAACATAACTAGGAATAGCTATGTCTTTTTTAAAGCCAAGAAATACAGATATCACATATATCACCATTAAATTATAACTTCTTAGATATATCAGTAGATGGCGGAAAGGGATCCAGGGATTTGGTTCAGGCCCTTCTGTGTAAAGCCCATCTGCTTGCATATTTTAGTCAACAAACAAAATTTCTTGGGAGTCTTTGTAAAATGCATATGTACTGAAATATTCCTTATGTCTCATGAAGATTTGCTAAGCTCAAAGTCTCCTGATGCTATGCATGCATATATTGAAAATCCATTAAATGAAAGAACTATCAAAATATAAATTGTTCACAACTGAGCACTATAGAATAAGTATGATGCATTAAATACAGAATTGAGTCAGGTAGTCACAGAACCACACAGTCTTACCAGGCCCTTTCAAATATGGCTATCTTATATAAAAGTTTTAAACAAAACATCATTCACAAGAGAAATGTAACAAAGGATCAGATTCTGCCATTCTTCCTAACATTTGATTAGGAACTTACTCTAGGAGCCGTTTCAATAATTTTTAATCTGTTGATTACATTGGAAAGGGTTCACTCACAAAATGTAACAATATCTTTCCTTTTTTAAAAGGGAATGTTGCTCTGAAAAACCTCCAAGATAAAATTTGACGCAAAAACTGAGGTAAAAATGGGATTAATGTTTCTTTTTTTAAAAATCCTAATGTTTCAGTCTTACTTGTTGATATAAGAGTACCTGTAATCATAAGATATGGGTTTTTCTGAACTCCAACTTTCCAAAAGCAATTTTTGTCATTATACAAAACATTTTGCTATGTCATGAATTCATGTCATAGAATATTTTCCAAGTTCATTTGTTAATAAATAAAAATGACTTTTTTAATATTTTCAAAGGACTGCAAAATGGCAATAATTTTCATAACCTAATTCATAATCCTGTTAATTGTGTTGCAAATTAACTGTTTTTTTTGCCAACAATCGTGGTGCCCTTTTAATCACTTAAAAATTCTTGTTTGCCCACATTTACTTAGCAGAGCATTACAACTGCTATGGGAAGGCCAAGGCAGAGATGGAACTAAGGTTAGGGACCAGAATTAGGGATAAACAAAAAGTCTGTTTTTCAAATACATAGGGAGTAAGAAGAAGGCACAGGGTAACATGGGACCCCTACAGGACAGGCTTGGAAATCTGGTGACTGCAGCAAAAGAAAAAGCTGACCTTCCACCACTAGGATTACACACGGACCCAGGGGAGGCACTGCCATGCCTAGGATCAGGGACGACCTAGTTAGGGAACTTTTGGAGGGGATGGATGTGTTTAAATAAGCAGGTCCAGATATTCTTCATCTGAGGGTGCTGAAGGAATTGGCAGGGGTCATAGCAGGGCCCCTGGCATGGCTTTGTGAGCACTCGTGGAGCTCTGGCTAGGTTCCAGAGGATTGAAAAAGGGCCCATGTGGTCCCCATTTACAAGAAGGGGAGAAAGGAGGATCACAGCAATTATAGGCCCATCAGTCTTACCTCAGTCCTTGGGAAGACCTTTGAGAAAATTATCAAGGAGCACATCTGCAAGAGCCCAGCAGGGGAGATAATACTTGGGGTAACCAACACGGGTTCACTGAGAGCAGATCCTGCCTGACTAACCTGGTTTCCTTTTATGATCAGGTCTCACAGTCCCTGGATGAGGGCGTCAAGGTGGATGTCATATTCCTGGACTTTAAGAAGGCCTTTGACACTATTTCTCACCACATTCTCTCAAAAAAACTAGGTGATTGCAGCATTGATGCCTACATAGTCAGTCAGATGGGTGGCAAATTGGCTAGATGGTCGCACACAGAGAGTGGTGGTGAATGGGTCATTTTCGACCTGGAGGGATGTGGTCAGTGGATTCCCCCAGGGCTCGGTCCTGGGGCCTATACTGTTCAACAACTTTATCAGTGATCTGGATGTGGGTGTGGAAAGCACGCCGTCCAAATACTGGTGATACCAAGATGTGGGGTGAGGTGGGCACGCTGGAGGGGAGGGACAGAATCCAGCTAGATCGAGACAGGTTATAGAGGTGGGTGGATGAGAATAGGATGGAATTCAATGCAGGCAAGTGCAAGGTACTGCATCTAGGGAGAAGGAACAAGCAATACACCTTTCTTATCAACACAGTGGCAGAAATGGATCTGGGAGCCATTGTTGACTCCAGGATGAACATGAGCCGCAATGTGAGGAAGCAGTCAGTAAGGCTAACTGCACCTTGTCGTGCATCTAGAGATGCATCACAAGCAGGTCCAGGGAGGTGATCCTTCCCCTCTATGTGGCATCAGTCAGGCTGCCGTTGGAGTACTGCATCCAGTTCTGGGCACCGCACTTCAAGAGGGATGTGGCTAGCATTGAGAGGGTCCAGAGGAGGGCCACTCGCATGGTCAAGGGGCAGGCCAGGCCCTATGAAGGGAGGCTAAAGGGCCTGAATCTATTCAGCCTCCGAAAGAGAAGGCTGAGAGGGGACTTGGTGGCTATTTACAAACTCACCAGGGGGGATCAGCAGAAATTGGGTGAAGCTCTGTTCCCTCGGGCACCACCCAAGGTTACTAGGAATAACGGCCACAAATCGTGAGAGAGAAGGTTCAGGCTGGACCTCGTGTAGATGCACGAGGCATTACTTTTAAGGTTTGGGCTGCCAGGCTCTGGAATGGACTCCCAAAGGAGGTGGTGCTCTCTCCTGCCTTAGGGGTCTTCAAGAGGAAGCTGGATAGATATTTGGCTGGGATGTTATGACCCCAGCACTTGTTCCTGCCTGGGGAAGGGGGACGGACCCGATGATCTGTATAGGTCCCTTCTGACCCTAAGCACTATAAAACTGGTTGAGAGTTTATTAGCTATTTTTAACTTGTGAGTACCTCTCCCCTGAAGAGTAGTTTAGGAGTTGTGGAGAGCGTTAAATATTGCTGGCAGTCATGGTAGACAGAAAGGCAGGGGGAGGGGGCATAAGGCAGACAAAGCACCCAAAGTAAAGAATAAGAAATAGCCACACTGGAAGCAAGTAAAAGATCATAAAAAGGAAAAGAACAGAAGACAAAACTTTGCTTTTTTCATAATAACATACTGAAATCCCATGTATGCAACTATCATTTAACATAGTTTCATAGTTGGTTTCATAGTTGGCAGGGTTGGAAGGGACCTGAGCAGACCATCAAGTCCAACCCCCTGCTATGGGCAGGAAAGAATGCTGGGGTCAAACGACCCCAGCAAGGTGATTATCTAGCCTCCTTTTGAAGACTCCCAGGGTAGAAGCAAGCACCACTTCCCTTGGAACTTGGTTCCAGATCCTAGTCACCCTGACTGTGAAGTAGCGCCTCCTGATGTCCAGCTTGAACTTACTCTCAGTCAACTTATGGCTGTTATTCCTAGTTACTCCTGGTAGCGCTTGGGGAAAGAGGGTCTCTCCCATTCCCCG